GTAGCACTGCTCATCCAGAAAAAAACCCACAGCAGTCTTGCATTACAGAAAAGTGGCTGTGTGCAATGCAATGTCAGCTGACCCACCTTCACACAATATTACTATTTTGAGGAAAGTCCTCAAGATTTCAACATTTGAAAAATATAAGAGCCTAGGGACTCTACGGAAGAGCATGCCATATTTTACATTTGAGATGCAGATCAATGTATGAATCTGATCAATGTATGTGAGCTTTCCTTTTTTCCTAAAAAGGCCTGCTTTGAGGATGGGAGAAGATGATGATGGTGGAGGTTACTGCATTTCCAAAGTGTGAGGCTATTTGCACCTTCATCTGAGGCCCCGATGAGGCCACTTGCTTAGAGGGATGCACTTGATCTTAATGGATGTTTCTCTGACAGTTGCCATCGGATTCTCAGAACTTTTTGTCAAGAAATACCATCCGTGCTTGCTTCATGAAGGTTTTTAATTACATTTCCTGAATTTTCTAACCTTGAAATACAAATTCCTGCGTCAGAAAGGAAGAATCGTGCATCTTAAAGTCACATCTCTTGTATGTTGTTTTCTGAAAATGTTTTATGAATGACATTTCAAAGTTATACATTATCGACATGGATCAAATGGCAGCATTTATTTGAAGGAAGAAAGTCAAACCAGATGTAGCGGGAATCCTCATCTGCTTCCACTAAAACTGAAACAGAATCTAGTTTTGATGTTAATTTGAATAGCTGCCTGTGACCCATATTTCAGATTTTAAAAACAACAGAAAAATCCTAAATCTGAAGTCTGGATGATTTGATATCTAAATTCTACCTCTCCTCTCACAATTGCACACCAAACGAAGAGGAGTTAAATATTCTTATTTAACACATATACATATATAACTGTACTTTGCAAAAATTCTATAGGTTTTGCTTCTTTGTTTGTATGAGGGCTATCTAATTTTGGATTAAAAACATGTTATGTCTGATAAACAAATTTTGTTTCTAAATTCTACTGCCTTCTTCAAACACATAATAGGGTCCCTTTCTTTCCAGTCTGTAATATTTACTAACACATTTTAATGTATGGTTAGATACCATGCATTTTCTTTTTAAACTAGGCTAATAAACCTTTCTTAAAATTCTTTTCTAAATCTCTTGCAGTGGACACAAATTCTGGGATACATTAGATTCATTTATCTTTGCAGTTTGCCTTCAAAGTAGACCACATATAATCAGTTCAGTTTCCCTTTACAGTTCCTCTCGCTTCCCTACTCTACCACTGGTCTCAGTGTTTCCACTGTCAGGGCCTTTTTTATCACCCCTTTCCAGCTGAGTAGGGCTTGAAGTTGGGTGGAATTCTGCTGTAACCCAACTGGTACTCTGCTACAACACAGGCACAGACACTTCTCTGTGGCTCATTAGCTGGGACCCAAAGCTCTGATCTGGCATGTGCAGGGCGTTCCTGTTCTTGACTTCAGTGGCCATGAGGTAGGTTTTGTCAGAGGCCACCAGTACGGCTAACCCTGTTAGGACATCTGATTGTCTTTAGCTGAGAGACTACAGGCATTCAGGGGCGCCTTCTACAGAAACAGTGACGCTGTTATTAACACCAGAACTATGGAATACAGGGCCAAGACCAGAGCTCATGCTGGAGTAGATTATAATAAAAACAAACAAACAAACAAAACCACAAACAAACAAACAAAATGAATCCCCCAAACCAAACAATAGTCTTCACTCTCCTTTTGTTTGTTTCAAAATGTGAGTAGGCTGGTTTTGTACTTTCAATTATATTATCACGTAATGCAAAGCTCTTTCCTGTGCATTCTCTTTCGCATTTTAATCTTTAACTTCTATACCTTCTTCCCTTTTCCTCTCATTCATCTGTTCTTTTTCTCTAACTATTGTATTTGCCCAAATACAGAACAAGCCTGTCTAGCAGGCAGCCTCTTGCCTTCCCATCCTCACTTGCTCCAGCCTCACATCCTCACTTCCCAAGTCTGATCTGCCTTAGTCTGCTTTGCATTTCAAGATAGACAGGACCCGGGTTCCGCTCAGCTGAACAATTCCAGATGCTTCCTAGAAAGCAGGGAGGCTCTACCCATACCCTGGCAAGCCACACTAGCAGCCAGCTGCACGGTGGCACCTCCACCCTACGGAAGATGGTGTCTCCCACTGCTTGCAGAAAATTCACTGGCACCCAGAACCTGCCACTTCCAGAGATGCAAGCAGGATACCGAGGGCTCCTAAACTCGCTGGGAGTACCTGGTCAAGTTTGCAGCACCCAGTTTTGAGCCTGAATGTGAAGTGAGTCATACATAGAGATTGTTTTCTAAAGTAAATCACTTGAAAAGCCCAGATGGACACAAGAGTATGGATACTTCAACAAAAAGAAGTGACAGATCACAGGGTGAAGTGAAAGCTCCATAAAATATTTCAGGCTGCCTGCATAGTAGAGGGATGCACGTATGCGGTCCCTGCTAGAAAAGAAGTTAACGTCACATAAGTCAAACATTTCCTTTTGCTTGCCTTAATGGGCCTGTGGTGCTGTTCCTTAGTGTCAACAAACATGCCAGGAAAATTCTGTTGCCAAGCTGACTGCCCTTTCCCACAACTGCCCCCAAGCACTAGGGAGGATGGAAAATGGGCTGCTGCACTGCAGAGGTGCTCAAGGGAAGAGTTTGCCAGCAAAAGAGAATTGCAGAGTTTGAAACACGGAGAGACCTTCGGCTTTGCCAGAGTTCTTACTGAAAATGTCTAATTCATTTAATGAGAAAAGCAATATCCTAAACCGAACAATCTAACAGTCGTGTCTCTCCTGCCCTCCCAGCCATTTTTAATATGATGGAGACACTGAGCATAATGTATTCTTATCCTGATGCTTTTTGCTTTAATGCTGGAGTGAAATACTGCTGTAATCAAAAAAGAAAATATATGTGACCTGTGAACAAAGGCAATGCATGACTGAGATGGGCAAAGGTGGTACATTCTTGTAGTCTCAAGGAATTCTGCAGAAACTTCCTTTAATCTAGGAAAATGCTTTTACATAGTTACCGAAACAGTCTTACTAGGAAGCTACAATACGAGGATCTCAAGTAACAACCAGAAGGTTTTAATATACACATACACTACCTATATTCTGCCATAAGCTCTATAGAGAAACCTTATGATTTTTACCTTGCTGACACATCACAGAGCTTTACGGGAAAACTTCGGTAAGGAAGATGCACTTGAGCAACAGGTTTTCCCACCAGCACCTGTCTGTCCCAAACATCTTCCCTCCTACTACAGCCTGTTCTCTTGGGTATGAAAGCTGCTCAGAAATAGTGGCAAGTTTCTTCATCTTTACACTAAGTAAGTCCTAATAAGAAGACACGCCGACATTGCACACTGAACTTTGGAGATCACCTCCTGGATCTGGTTTAGCCTGTCCATGCATCACCAGCTGTGCTGAGAGGGTCACCCAAACTGCAGCGGCCTCAGCATTTCTGCACTTGCTCTCTCTGCTGCTGTGACTTCTGCTGGAAGTTCACGCATGGTTGTGTGATCATCTCAGCATCAGGGTGTTGATGATGTAGAGGTTTACTCTCGTGAAGAGACTTATAGGGCCAGGATCTTTCTGCTGAGCAGACAGATCCCAAAAAATCAGAGGGAGTTCCTTTAAATCAGAGGAGGTATTAATGCATTGTAGAATTCCACAGTGATGAGGTAGGAAAGAAGGGAGAAAATTGTGCATTTACAGGAAGAACCTTGCAAGCAAAGATTTTCACAGAATCACAGAATGGTTTGGGTTGGCAGGGACCTCAAAGACCATCTAGTTCCACCCCCCTGCCATGGGCAGGGACACCTTCCACTAGACCAGGTTGCTCCAAGCCTCATCCAGCCTGGCCTTGAACACTTCCAGGGATGGGGCATCTACAGCTTCTCTGGGCAACCTGTTCCAGTGCCTCACCACACTCTCCAGGAAGAACCTCTTCATTATATCCAATCTAAATCTACCCTCTTTCAATTTAAACCCGTTACCCCTGGTCCTGTCACTACAGGCCCTTGTAAAAAGTCCCCCCCAGCTTCCTTGTAGCCCCTTCAGGTACTGGAAGGGGCTATAAGGTCTCCCCGGAGCCTTCTCTTCTCCAGGCTGAACAAGCCCAACTCTCTCAGCCTGTCCCCATCGCAGAGGTGCTCCAGCCCTCTGAGCATCTCTTATTTTAAGCAAGAAATTGGTATACACAATACTCAAAGCACATCTGTTGGTTTTTTTGGAAGCCTTCTTTGACTTCAGTGAATTGCATTGCAAAGTAGTCTCCACCGTGCAGATAATAACCCTCCTGAACGAAAGTTTGTTGGTCAAGGGGACATGTCAAAATCCTGCAAGCATATCATGCATCAGAGATGAATCCAAAACTGGAAGAGGTTAAGTGCTGATCTACAGAAAAAGATGTACTGGACAAGTGGAAAACAAAATTTGAATTCCTTTGATTTCACTGATCATTTGAAAAATGGCAAATGGATGGATATGAAGGCTAAACCCTACATACCAAAGAAAAAAGGAGCATAAATCCAGTAAGATAGGATCAAAGAAACACTGGGCAAACACCTGATATTCAGAGAACGTGATAACTGTAATTTTGGGTGAAATCTGTCTAGGATTGTAGTTTCATATTCCTATGGAACTGCACAAAAGAGAAAGGTCTGTCTGAATCACAGTCCTTAAACCAAAGATAGTGCTGAACAACACTGGCACTGATTTACCTGGATGACTACCAGAATTACAACCTCCACATTTCAGATCTTGGAATAAAATCCTATTTCATATCGCTGCCAATATGTGTCTGGCATAGTTTAGTCCTGTGCCTAACTGTCACTATCCGCTTCGTTTATCAAGCATTTATAGATCTACAAATGAAATTTTTAAAAGTGGTATACAAGCTAGTTATTGCTCTTACTAATAGTATGTTAGCTCAGTTATAGCAGTTTATTGAACTGAAAGAACTGCATGGCTGTAAATCATGAAACACTTACTTCTTTCACGAACCACTGGCAAAAGGCAGGGCCAATCCACTCTCTTGCATGAATCCCACAGTCTATCCAGACAGCTTTCTTGTAGGGCCGTGATCTTTTACCTAACTTGAAGTGTGGAAATTCATGGAAATATCAATAGATCTCATGACATTAGTAAGACACAATAATGAGAAAATAATAGAATACTAGAAACACTAAACCATTTGAATTTCCTCTTAGGAAGGGACACAAATTTATGGTTTTCAAAGGTATGGCAAGATAATGATATGCAGGTTGGCCAAGATAATGAAGCTGATCTATGGAAAAAAAATACAGAAAAAGTGAGATTTGTCAATTCCTCGTTTATGAGGAATGATATCCTTAAATATCACATGGAGCAGGGTGAGGAAGAACAATGCTACAGGAATGGCCTGATGCACAATCAAATTTTCAGAACTCTGCAAAAGTGTATGAAAAGGAAGTACATTGAAAGTAACATTTTTTTGCACCTTGCTGACAACCGTTAATTTGTGATCCCAATACTGTGAATTGAGATCTCACAGCCCTGGAACACTGTTAAAGAGGAAATGTATGTGGCACATGCTGAGAAGGGCTCCAAAGTCCTCGGGGGTCCTGCTCCTGCATAACTGCTTTCCAAGTTGTCTATAAACACAAAATTTCCCAATTCCCTTAAATCCAAATCCTGCTAATTGAACTTGGCCCGAAATCTACTGCCATGCATGTACCATCCAAGTGAATACGATTTGGCATTTGGTTTTCCAGCTTTCAATTTTTTTGTTCAAGATGATATTCAGAGAGATACTTGGATCTTAGCAACTCAGCCTTAGGGAACACTGATAACCTGTGTCTCTGGCGTACACGCTGTAACATAAATCACAACATAGTCTGATTAATGGCTGTTTAATCTTTACCTTGAGTACAAAGAGTGGTCTCCCTTCATAGGATTTTCCAACAGAGAACATCTGCACAAGATCTGAATGAGATTTATTCAGATGATGCATCCAATCCTGGATCTGCAAATACACAAAATTGTTGCTTCAGTCTCTGCATTTCATAGGAAGCAACAGTAAGGAATTTATTCATCTCAGCTCTCAGTCCTCTGTACGCTTTTGGATTTTCCTGTAGTTTTTCTTTTTGTCTTTTCATTGTTTTTTTGTTTTGTTTTCACACATGAACTATCATTGGGGTCTCACAGTTCTATTGGCAGAGGCTGGATGCAGCCTTCAGTCACCCAGGATTTGTTTCCATTTTATCACTGGATTTTACTGAAATGCGTTAGCTGTTCATCAAAAAATCTGGGGATGGGACTAATCTGCCACTCCCACCAGACATTAATGGAATGAAGAAAGAAGGTGTGTGCCTGCCTGCCTGCCAAGAAGCAGAATGGCAAACCAATTGACCTGCAGGATTCAGAGCTGCTTGCGAGATTTGTTTCATGGGCACCAGATCTCGTCGAGGTGCAGCACCCTCCACGCCCAGTCTAGTGACTCTGAAACTCTGCATGTGTGCACACTGGAGTCAACAGAAATCATTTATCCAGGTGACTTCCAGGATAGTAACCCGTATCCATGAATCTGTATCTAAGTGTTTTTAAGTCTTTGGGCCTCTTGTGCAAATGCTTAAGTATTTGCTCATGTTGCTTACTTAAATGACTCAGTGAGACTAACCACTCACTGAAATCCCTTATTCCATCAGAACAAAAGGCTTACTTCAAAAACAAAACTCAGAAGCTGTCAAATACAGTTACATGTAAAGAGAAGCCTTGAATACAACTATTAAAAATATATATTTTCAAGAAGGTGCCTGTTTTTGAAGAAGAAACATTTAAAACACTTCTGAACTCGATGACCTTAAAGGTTTTTTCCAGCCTAAATGACTCTGTGATTCTAAGAAATCTTAGCCTTATTAAAGACAACAGTGTAGTGGCCAACAGGAACAATATGAACTTTCACGTACTTCTTCCAGGGGGTGATACACTTCATAGTTATACTGGGAGAGGGACCTTCGATTCCTGTACGACCTCGGTCCAGTTTGGTTTTCTATTGCTTTCTGTAGGTCTGCTATGAGAATCCTAGGTGAAAAAAGATAGCAGTATTACTGAAAAACTAGTGGAACACACAGGCTAAAGCAGAACAATCATGTTTAGAAGAAATATAGCTGGAGTTAAACCATCCTGACGTTACTTCATCTGTTATATTTTGACAATAAAGTGCTTCAGGCTTATTTGAATACGCGCTGCCAAATAAATACTCCAGCTGCTTTGAAATGTAACAGTGCCTTCAAAAACCACAATGAGCTTGTTAAGCGAGTAAAACAGAACCATGTAAATAATGTAGCCAATGTGAAGGAAAAGGCATGTTTATAGAGCAGCGTTTGTTGTCTTCCTTTACAGTCCAGTTACACCATGTGATCATGGAGCTTCAAAAACTGATTTCAAAAACCATAAAAAAAAATCTTTTTAAGGTTAGAAGAACATGCACATACTTTCTCACTGGAGTATTGTACTGACATGGAACATCACATGTACCTACAAGTTGTAGAGGCAAAACAAAAAAATGAAGAACTCGGCGGCACTATCATTCTGTGTGCAACACAACAAAGTGTGGGGTTTTGTTTACAGTTACCTAATCTGCAATAGATGGTTGGATGGTTATTTTAAAATAACTCAGGGGAAACGTGACACAACACTAACTGTAACTTAAATATGCTTGCATAAACAGTGAGAGGTTCTTTGCATTAAGAGCGAAATGCAGGAATACTGGTTCAAGCTGAAAATTTTCCTATTTTCTGGCAAAACCAAACGATGCAAATATAAAAAGATAATAAAGAGAACATCTAAAAAGAATTATATCAAAGAGGTTGGAGCACCTATCCCTTCCATCACATAGTGGGAGGAGCTGGGAGTAGCGTCGCTGACATCAGTAACATCACTATAAAACCGCGGGCCATCCTTCTGCTGAAGCAGGGCAATGTGTAATCACCATACCACTAATCCATCATTCCTGCAAAACGATGGTCACATTCAACCTTTTAAGGTCTTGTAGGTGTTAGCTGCAATGATTGGAAAAAGAGGGAAAGAAACTGCATTCACTCTGGTCCTAACTCAACTGTGCAGCAGATACCACAAAGATAACAGGTCTATCTGCGTGTATGTATAATGTCAAGGTTATCCACATTCTTCAGGTGTATTAGCAACGTAATTGTATAATCAGGAATTACATTGTTCTAAATCAGCAACTTTTATTAAGCAAACTAAGCGCTTATAATCTTGCAAATTGCTATACACTATAAAACCAGTACTGTAAAGCATTTAAACCTGTAGTTAGATCAAAGCAGTGGTATTATTCAAGTCATTAGGACACCTAATATGTTAAAAAAATACTTGCCTGCTTTGCTGAATTCTGATCAGTGTAAGTACCTACCAGGATCAAGCTCTGTTTGTTCACTTTTACAGTAACAGATTTAATTTCCCAACTCCTGACTGCTGACGTGTCTGTACCCCAAATGAGCTTTGATCATCTTCACTTTCAAATGGCTGTGTACTGTGTGTGCGTGTAACACAAAGGCTCTTAAGTCCCTCAGGTCTGAATACAGCCCAAGTGGCTTTGTTGCCAGAGAACTTAGAACTGGGGCAACTTGGTGACGTGAGTTTATCTGATGCCTGGCTTGTTTTCATGACCGTCTTCTTGTCATAAAGTCAAACACTAGGACAGATGTGTCTGTCTTACAGGAAGGGGCTGGTCACCCTATTCGTTATTAGGGTTGTTGAATGTTTCCCATATTTAAAGATTTGTCATAAGTTAGGGAA